TTCACGCAAACCCTAGTCCAATTTCATCAAACATAAATTTATAAAAACAAAATTAATAAAAAAACCAAACCCTAGATTTAGATCTACATGTACATGAAACATCCATAAAACTAACTAATTGTTCACTAAAATCAAGAAACATGGACCAAATAAGGGTATGATCCTGTTCTCCTTCCTAATGTACCATAGCACATTCAAAACTTGGGTCTAATTTGCTTCATAAGTAGCTTAAGCATCATAGAAGAGATAGAAAAATAAAACTCTAATTACTCACTAACCAACCATTAAAACTTTAAAAAAAAGTGTGGAATAGCATTTTCTTACTGTCTGCAACCTCTCCACCAAAGGATTTGAGACCAAAACATTCCCCCCTTAGTAGAGCAATTTTTGGGAGGCGTCCAAGGCCTCTCCACCTTTCTTTCACGGATTAAAGTGAGTGACCCGAGGAGAAAGAAGGCTACAAATAGCAATAGTAGGGGCGGCTGGTGAGTGAGCCGCCCCTATAAATCCGACCTATTTGTAGGGGCGGCTTGTATGATCAGCCGCCCCTGCTGTTCTATTTGTAGAGGCGGCTGGTCTCTAGGTTCCCGAGCACGTCATTGTAAGAGCGGCTCCATCACCAGCCGCCCTAAAAAAAACTATCTTGTTGCTATAAACCGTTTTTTACTTAGTACTCGTAAAAACCAAGTCGGCACGACCGAGTTATGACATCAGGTATCCCGACACATTCCCTCTGACTCTGACATGGGTTGAGTTCCGGGTGCCGGAGACGATCTTGCGGCATCGCTGCTCTTCAGTTGATAATCCGGTCGAGAATGTCCTCGTGAAACGGTCTCACATGCTGATCTCCTTGTGGGCATCCGGCAATAGATGAAGGCAGGCGAATGAGCCGACAGCGCGAGACGATAGATGCCCAACCAGCGCGTGTCCGATCCGGCCCAGAATGTGGCGTGTAGTAGAGAACTCGTGTAGTCCGGCCCATAATCTGCACCAACGCAACAAGCTTATCATTTTGCCACGTGTCCTATGAGAGCTTCGCGGGCCAACGCTCGTCCCCTCCGCCTCCTCAGCGGCTCCTCCGCCGCCGTAACCCGCGCTATAAACATTTCTGTTGTGCGCACAAGTTGTCTGATGGATTGAATCACTGAGTTCCAGCTTGAGTACAATGTCACTTTGTATTTTTAGTTTAAAACTTGCTTACATCTTAAGTTATAAACATAGATCAAGTCAATTTGTGTAATGTGGATACACAATCTAGAGTGATCGTCTCTCTCTTTCTCTTGGCAGCTTATGAATCTACATCTCATAGGCTGGCTTTCATTCAGAAAAGGTCTCCGGTTATTACAGTTTGTAGACCTTAGCCTTTAGTTTTGTGGCGGTAATTGGATGTTGTATGCTTGAATCTAATGGATATATATTTTATTTACTAAAGTCGTTTTGGTCAGGACAAAAAAAAAATACTCAGCCTGCGGTGGGCAAACAGCCTCCGCAACTTTGTGCTTAAGGAAGAAGAACTTCTCACACAGGCCAAGAAAAACCCCGAACCCTGTGCCCTGCCTTACACAGGGGCCCGGTACCCTGTGAGTGGGCCGGTCCATTACCTGTGCTTTGGGAAACTCGGGACAGACGAGAGGATTTTTTTAACTCTAGCAGGCGAACGAGCGCACCCGTGGGGGTTCGAACCCTGCACGCGAGAGTGCCGACCGGACATCCTGACCATCTGGTCGGAGGAGCCGTTGGCTTTGGTCAGGACAAGGAAAATAGATTCAACATCAACTCTACCGTATCTGATAACTTTATTCCATCTTGCTTTGTTCAGTTACATGAAGACAGTAACTGTGCTTTGTGCTTTTGAATTCACAGTCACACCATGCAACCTGCAAACTTATTAAGTTATAATTGATTTCTTTCAGGGATCTATAATCCTTTGATTGAATTGGACATGACTTTGTCAAAGAAAGCAATATAACTATCACACTTCCAATCAAAGTAACATTGTTAATTTTCAATACATATAGTTTGGTCTTGTGGTTTCAGTGCATACAATTCCTGACTATTTCATGATTATGTGAATTTTCCTTGTAAATATAGGGGATCATGGTTTCATTTGCAAAAAAAAATGTTGCTGATTTCATAAGCAGTGTTGGGAAGAACCATATTGTCATTCTTTCAGCTTTAGATTCTGACAAGAGAAGGGTAATTAATGCATCGAGGTAACTGAAATGCTTAGTTGAAGCAGATTGATTCTCTGTCAATATTGATGTCATTAGTTAACCTTGTTTTATAAATGAAGCGACATGCTGATGATACTGATGAGATGACAATAAATGAAGCGACATGCTGATGTTACTGATAAGATGACAATAAATGATTACTACGCGAGCTTGCCATTTGCAGCACTATTCTCTGCCTGCAAGGTGTCTGGTTTGTTTCAGTTTCAAAAAAAACTATTGCTTCGAATGTCGGAGTGATTGTATAATCTCTCTTTATTTGTGATAGGCTCAACCGACAAACGTAAGGCAGAGCATCAAGAAAGGAAGAGTCATAGGTAAAATGATTAGATCATGTCATGCCTTTCGTAGCAATTGATCATCATGTATTCCTGACATACCCTTGAGATAGATAAATAAAGCTTCCTTTGTATTGCAGTAACTCTGTAAGTTCATACAAGCTAAATCACAAAAAAAAAAAAAGGTTCATACAAGCTAAGGCTTCAAATCAAGCAGTCTTGCGAGTTTCTCTGATGGTCGCCCTTGGCATGCTATTTGGTAATAATATCTTTCGCTCAAGATCCTTTCCAATACTAGGGCTATGCATCTCAAATCTGAGAGAATTTTGATCAACTCACCATATGACGGGCACTCTTCATTGCACCTGCTTGTATAAATTCGTGTACACATGGAGTTCTGAACTTCTGATGCCAAGGTGTACTCATAGAAAATCATTTCTTCGTTGATTTATCCAGTACTCTGACAGCTCTATTCTTTGCTTTCTTCTATACAAAACCACTCCAAATTGAGGAAGGGACTCCGTCTGACAATTTTACTTGGTATATTTTTATGAAATATGCTTTCAGAAAATCTACAAGCGATGAATTTCTGAGATATGCTTTCGTCACATTCTTTAGGCTTTTTCCAGGCATCCAGATACAATAATACATCCTATTCCTAAAATGCATGTATCAAACTATAAGAACTATAGCTGGATAACATAAATATTATTTTTCAGCTTCGATGCACTTAGACTCATGCGCAACACTAAAATAATCACCGGCAAACTCAAAGATGGCGCGGCGTTTTCTAGTTGTAAAGACTGAATTCTTCCGTGCTCAACTCTGCCTCTCCTTTCTTCCTTTTTTCAGCTAATCTCGATAAATTTAGACTAATATATATACTTCCATCGATCGCCGATTTTTTTCTTGTTGCCTCAGTTTTTCCCTTCCCCAGACCCCACTCATTTGGGAGCCTCCGGCACTGGGTCTGCGTTTTTTTTTTTCTATCGAGAACGAAGAATCTAGTGTCCTCTAAATCTCTTGTAAGGAGGTATAAAATGTCAAGCACGATCCATTTTGTTTGGAACTGGTATCATAGGGTTTGCATTTTTAAAATTAAAATTCTTTCCGTGATGCTATATTTATTAAGTCTTTGATTAAGCTGCTTAATTAGCCCCAAAGGCTATAAAAAATCTAGAAAAAATATTTAAAATCATCGCTCCGAAAGTAGTATTTTTTTCATGTGATTTCTCATCATACGTGCATCTACTCCAATACATATGTATTAAGGTGGAAACGAGTGCATCTAAACAAGGCATCAAGTGAAATATCCAAGTTTTTTTTAATTTTAACAAAGAAGCATATGCTCAAACAAGGATGAAAACGGACGGGATGAATCCCGTTCCGTCAGCAACCGTATACCGTTTTATCCTCTCCGTTTTCTTTTTCCCGGGAAAATACGGGACCAGGACGGAATGCGCCGGGACCGGGACCCGAGTTTGTCCATTCGTATTTACGGTATACCGTATTTTACCGGGATAATCCCGTAGTCATCCCGTTTTGTTCCTAACGGGGATAAGCCCAGTACTGTGCCCTTATGGCCATGGGCCTTATCAGCTGGCCTCCCGGGTTCCTCTCAGTTGGCGTTCGCGGCCTCCCGCCTCCCAAATCCTCGGCTGGATCCTGCGTCGCTGTTGGCTCTGGGTGTGGCAGCATGTGTGCATGCAGATGCAGTGTAGCAGCAAGGAGTAGCCTCAGGACATGTGTGCATGCAGTGTAGCGTCGCTGTTCCTCTTAGATGCATGTGTGCACAGGCGGTCAGGACTCAGGACTTGGGAGCGTTACCGAGCGTAGCAGCAGGAAGTAGCCAAGCTGAGCAGTTTAGCTTATTCACCTTTACAAGTCATGTGAGATTTATTATTTGTTTACTTATTCTACTTTTGTATCTTGGTTATCATACGTGATATGTAATCCAGCTTAAGTTCCCGGCTACCGTCCGTTGATTTTCCGATCGTATTTACCCATACGCTACCCATTTCCGCTCCGGGCTGTCCCGCTCCCACTTCCGTTAAAAATATATAGAAACGGAAACAGTAGAGGTATTTTTGGTCCGTTTTCATCTTTATGCTCAAAATTAAGTTTTATTTTAAAATTAACTCTAAAAGCATTCAGTAAAAGCTGTTATTTATACGCCAAGTGACATCATCTCATACTTTGTATGGCATGATTATCACGTGGATGTTTTGGATGCTTCTGAATTTGATTTCGAACTAAAATCGAACAATGGGTTTCATCTAAGCACATATGCCAAGAAATCACATGAAAAATATATAATCGAAATTTAGGAAATTACTTGGCATCACCCAACAAGCAAAGCAACCATATTTATCTAGCAAAAGTAGAAATTTCATTTCCAAAACATGTAATGGATGACTTTTATTCATGCAAACATGGAAATACATATATAATATAAAAGCACACAAGAAAACATAGGAGAAATAGATACATATTAAAGCACGAGGCCAGATCCTTTGAGCTTCTCTTCAACGATGCAATCTAACTTTCTCCCCATCTCCATGCTTATGTGATTCGCCCAATCACCCACCATTCCTTTCCTGAAATACCATGACTTTTCAATAACAGTGTTGGCAAGCATAGTAAATCTTCCTGTTTGGTTCTCAGGCAAGCTACTAAGCTTCTCAAAACTGCACAACCTCACCAACTGCTCTGGTACCCCATCCTCTTCTTCCCTGATACTAAATGGAGCACCAAGGAACAATGCGAGCCTTATGACATGCTTTATAGGCTCTAAGATCATATCCTCATACTTGAGGAAAAGAACCTTATCAGATCTTGCAATGCTTTCCCTCCAGTACTCGAGGTAATGGCCCCAACAAGGTCCATGGTCAGAGAAACCTTCGGAGAACATGTTAAACGCTGTTTCCAAGTCAATATGATATCCAATATGCACCTTATTATAGAAGTACCACCAAGACACAAATGCATCCTTAGGGTCTCGACACATGTACACAATCCGACAACCAGAACTGACTGTAGACTTCGGGAGCAGTGAAAGGGACATATGGGTGGAAAGAAGCCTTGGGGATGGGAGTGTCTCTAAATAGGTGAGGTTACCTTGGATAGGTGCCTCTATGAATGGTAACACCTCCTGAGGATGGCGAAAGAGAAGAGGGTGGTGGTCAAAATCATACTGGGAGCGGTTGGTGACTGCGAAGAAGAGGGCCTTCAGCCACGTGGTTCCGCACTTGAGGTAAGCAGCAATGATGGTGTCTTCGGGACGAGGTTTGAAGCTATTTTGGGCACGCAGTATGCTCTCAATGATGCTGGGACGGAACCAGTAGTTCTTGTAGAGTATCATGGGCTGTAACCACCCCTCTCTTGATGGGAGTTTGGATATAAGATCAGCAGCACAGTTTTCAAAGGAAATGGCTTAGAGGATCCTTTTGTGGCACTTTCATCCTCGACTTGTGACATGTAGCTCAACTACTTGGAGTTTTGCAGTCTCTCTCGCTAGCTAGAATGGATTGGATGGGCAAGAGAGATACGGCTGCAATCCTGCCTCGCAGGGCACAATAAATAGCACAAGGTCCCTGGCGTTCTACCGGAAAATGGAATAGATGGACAGCGGAGGTAGGTGTACACTTTTTTTTTGTTGGTGGAACAGATCTTGTCCTCAGATATATGTAATCCAGTGTGATAGCGAGCGTGTTTTTTCTATAGCAAAATAAATAAACTATAAACCTCGTGATTCATATATATATTGAAGAGAAAATGAGACGCCCCCACTAGCATTCGTCAATGGAAAAAGTCCACATTACCTTGTTCAACTTTCGCGATAGTCCGCTTTTTTTTCTCCTCGAACTGCAAAACCGGGCAAAACACCCTCTCAACTTTTAAAACCGTTCATCTTGCATCCCTGGACCTGTTATAAGCGGTTTAAAGACGGTTTTTATTTTTCTTTTTTTATTTATTTTGGCTGAATTTTTTAAAAACATAGTAAATCACAGAAAAATCATAAAATGGAAAATCTAATGTTTTGGACTCCACATGAATAGATCTACACGGTGAGCATATAATATGATATGCTTTAGTACAAAATTTTTGTTGTGGCTTTAAATCTATGCTTTTTACGTAATTAATTGGAATAATTCATAGTTGCAGTTTCTATGATCCAATTGTGATGAAATTTTTATGACGGGCTAATTATTGTATGATTGAACTATAGTAAAAATTTCATACTCATTGGATCATGTATAATTTAGTTATAGATTTATTTATATTTAACCAGCATAAACCTAGATAAAATCTATCGTGGGGTTTACGTACAAGCGGCGCCGGCTCCGCTCCATCGATGGGGAGTGTCGTGTGTGGAACGAGATCCTCTGCAGTCAGGCTGGTCGACTTTCTTCTGCGGTCGGCTGATCTGCACCGTCAGTTTACGATCCTCCCACAAGCACGACACACGGCCCATCTCAGATTCTCAGCCCAAGACGGCTTTGCTTTTGTCTTCCTTGTTTGGAGCCGGCCCTACGCATCGCGATGCCCAGTCGGAGGCGACGAATCGCACGGGCGGCGTCACGACCGTGCAGTGCGCACGTGGATGCTACTTGGAGCGGTGCCCCTCTTCTTCATGATTGTGGCTCGGAACCGAACATGGCTTGAGCTACGGCAGCGGCAGGAGCTCGCCGTGGCTACGAAGCAAGAAGTGGAATCCAGCAGGTACTTCTCTATTGGATTAGCTCCGGACACATGGAAGAAATAAACCGGCCCTCCACGGCGCAGGGCCGCGGCCGCCTGCACGCGCTGATCTGGAGGGCGAGCAGCTACCGGCGCTCGACGGAGCAGGGCCGTCGCCGCCTGCATATGCGCCGAGCTGGAGGGCCGCGCGGCCGTCGGCGCTCGACGAAGCAGGGCCGTGGCCGCCGCGGCAGCGAGAGTCTCCGGCCACGACGGCGAGCTCGGCCCTGCAGCCCTGCAGGAGAGATAGAGAGGATATAGGAGTGGCGGCACCAAAGGAGCGGATCGACCCTGCAGCACCAAAAGAGCTGGTCGCGGCACTGGCGACGGCGACGCCAACGAGCTGCAGCGACGGCGAAGGCGGCGCGAGGAAGGATCCGACTCGCACATGGGCACATGGCAATCTCGTGCGTAGGTCCGGTGTTGTGGGTTTAGATGGGCCACCGTAACTCTCCCATAGGGCCTGCTAGATGAGTCTTGCAAGCCTCACCATTGGATGCTAACGGACGGCGCAGACTGCAGAGAAGAGTCGATGTACACGACTGCGGAGGATCTCGTTCCGTCGCGTCTGTGTGTGATGAATGCATGCGCCGTGGATCTGCATGCATGTGATGGTGATGTGGCAAATCAGCCCGGCTTTTGCGTGCCTGCTGCTTACGATGATGACTGATATACGTTTGAGCTGAGCGATGATATGATCCAGCGCCGCCCTTGGCTACTTTTGTTGCGTTGTTGCTCTCTCTCTCTCATTCACACAATACAAATACAATGCTAGTGTGTGTGTGTATATATATATAGAGAGAGAGACTGGTAAAGCTAGATGGATCGCGCTCCTGTATGATCGAGTAGCGCGCTGCGTACGTGTAAACTCCATGCATGCATGCTGGTGTGGTGTGGATGCAATCATGCAATGCAGGATGCGTTTACTGCAAGCCAAAGTATACCCGCCCAGACTAACTGACCACAGACGACGACTAGCTAGCTCGTGACCACCTGATCGAAGCAGCTAGCTAGCAGCAACACCAGCACAGTGTACCCGTGCTACGTACGTACTGCTAGAAACTTGCCCTTTTCTGTACACACTGCACGGATCCGGAGATGGAAGCTAAGGCTAGTCACGGGCTGGGGCACATGGCAACGGTATGGCACCGCGCATGCATGCTGCCTGGCAGTTTGGCCAAGAGCACTCGAAAAAACTAAAGCTCTGAGACACTATTTCAGCAGTAGTTTTCAGCGAACAAATGAACAATGTTTTTCTCTCATACTAGATCAGAATAAGTATCAGCATAAACCAATTTCAGCGAAACGAACAGGGCCTATAACACCAAGACTCCACCTATACGTGGTCCTCTCCACCATATACAGCCACAAAGCTAAATTATAAATCGTTTTGACTTTTTTATATATAGTCTAGATATATACTAGCAAATTTAATGTACCAAAAAATTAAAATAATTTATAATTTAAAACGGAGGAGTACCGAAGGACGCGGAGGATGAGAAGAGAAGAGAACAACGGGCGTGTAAGACGGCACGAAGTCGTGTCGTCACGTACATATAGTTATTAGAAGCGGACTGACCAGCGGTCAGACAGGTAAAGACTATATAAACCAGAGATTATAACGGTCCGGTCAACTATGCGTGAGCGGACCCAGACAGTGTATTAGCAGACACGACGACAAGACGCACCGCGCGCCGCTCACTCACTGCATATATATATATAATGAAGTAGGTGCGGTTGGTTGGGTGGTCGTCGGCGCTGGTGGTCGCGGATCGGAGAAGCCGCCACGAGACGGAGGCGCCCAGCCCGGGTCGTGTGTGCTTTACACGTACGCGCGGCGGCTAGTTTTGTTGATGACCCCAGCACTCGGCACTCGGCACGTACTCGCAGCGCCGCCCTTGGCTAGTTTTGTTGCGTGTATATAAACTGACGGCATGCATGCATGCGGTGCGGTGGTGGCAGTCGTCGGTAGAGAACGTGGCAGGGAACTTGGCCAAGCGCGCGCGCGTTTGGTGTATGCATGCGTCTACTCCAAGCCAAATTAAAGTAGCCGCGCGCCCAACTGACCGACTCACCCACACCCACGCTACTAGCGCTAGCCGCAGAAGTGCAGAACTATCCTTATCCTCTGGCAAGGGTAGTCAGTATGTAGTCACGTCGAGGCACATGGCAAGCGTATGCATGGCACCGCGCGCATATGCATGCCTGGCAGTTTAATTTGGCAAGAGCACTCGTCGAGAAACTAACACCTAGACGCCTCCTTTATCTGGCAGCTACCTGTTCGCTCCAACTTAACAGCCGGCTTATCAGCTAGAATCTGTAGTATTTTTTTTACAGTAAACATAGCTTTAGCCGGCTTATCAGCCGGTTTTAATAACAGCCAAAGTAGGCCCTGCCATATGCACGTAGGAGTAAGAGGGAGGAGGAGAAGATGGTGACTATCATTGCACAGCTCAGTCTTCTCCAGCATCTAGGATTCTATAGCCTTCTTTCTACTCTCGATGTTCTAGGAATTTTCCAAAACAGATTAAGGGAGGGTGGAAAAGACGTATGTGTCCTTAATTAGTCGAGTTGCATGTAAGAAAATATATTTTTATTTAATCATATATGCACGAGATTAACATGCCAGATTATGCATGCATGAGGTTTCAATCCTAGATCAACATTCATTTCAGGACAAAATTTGAATCTTAGAACATTATTATCCTTTTTAGGACTGAGGGAGTAGGCAGGTAGCCAGCGACACCGTGTTAACTTCTTCCTCGCATTCTGCATTCACGCCAATATACATCACATCCTCGTTTGTTTGTTTGTTTGAAACTTTGTTAAAAAAACAAAATTTTACGTGTATAAGATGGGGGGACTGAGACGGTGAGACCTGTCCACCATAGCCACAAAACTAAGCCTCCTCCTCCTAGGCTCTTGCTATTACCAGTACCAGTGTTGCTCGATCTCCACACTCGCTCCGCTACCTCACCGTACGTGCTAGAGACATGTCTCGTGCTGCTACGCTCGCTGCCGCTGCCGCGGTGGCCGTCGTCCTCATCTGCTTCTCCTCAACGGCTACCGCGGCGGACGGCAACGGCAACGCGAGGCGGCCGCCGCTGGCCCCGGGCCTGTCCTTCGACTTCTACAAGCGGACCTGCCCCAAGGCGGAGTCCATCGTGCGGAGCTTCGTGCAGGACGCCGTGCGCAGGGACGTCGGTCTCGCCGCCGGCCTCCTGCGCCTCCACTTCCACGACTGCTTCGTCCAGGGCTGCGACGCCTCCGTGCTCCTGGACGGCTCCGCCACCGGGCCGGGCGAGCAGCAGGCGCCGCCCAACCTCACGCTGCGCCCCACCGCGTTCAAGGCCATCAACGACCTCCACGACCGCCTCCAGAAGGAGTGCGGTGGCGCCGTCGTCTCCTGCTCCGACGTCCTCGCTCGCCGCCCGGGACTCCGTCGTCGTGGTAAGTCAACTACATACGCGTGCATGCATGCACAAAATTTTCTTTTTGTTAACCACCCCACCACATGCCTGCATGTATCCATGCAGTCCGGCGGGCCCACCTACAAGGTGCCCCTGGGTCGTCGCGATAGCGCGAGCTTCGCGACGCAGCAGGACGTCCTGAGCGGGCTGCCGCCGCCGACGGCCGAGGTGCCGGCGCTGCTGGCCGTGCTGTCCAAGATCAACCTGGACGCGACCGACCTGGTGGCGCTGTCAGGCGGCCACACCATCGGGCTCGGCCACTGCACGTCCTTCGAGGACCGGCTGTTCCCGCGCCCGGACCCGACGCTGAACGCCATCTTCGCCGGCCACCTGCTTCGGACCTGCCCGGCCAAGGGCACCGACCGGCGGAGGGTGCTGGACGTGCGCACGCCCGACGCGTTCGACAACAAGTACTACGTGAACCTGGTAAACCGGGAGGGGCTCTTCACCTCGGACCAGGACCTCTTCAGCAACCCCGGTACCAGGCCCCTCGTGGAGAAGTTCGCGCGCAGCCAGAGGGACTTCTTCGACCAGTTCGCCTTCTCCGTGGTGAAGATGGGGCAGATCAAGGTGCTCACGGGGGCGCAGGGGCAGATCCGCAGGAACTGCTCCGCCCGCAACGCCGGCACCGGCGTGATGCTGCCGTGGTCCATCATCGAGGAGGCAGAGAGCCTCGTGTTCTAGGTGTGCCGGCGTCTGGCTGCCGTGGTCTCGTGTGGATCGGACTAGCTAGCTCGCCGGCCGTTGACAGTTTCTTGGTTGGCAGTAGATTAGCTAGTCGTACGTGGTCGGTGTCTACGCGGTGCCTAATGCAATGTTGGCAGGATGCAGCAGCTGGCTAGCACTGGACTGCATGCATGCAGATGCAGTGCAGCAGCGCCACCAAAGCATCTTAGCTTTTTGAGAAATAAAAGTGGCCATGGCAGAAATCAAAGTCTACAGTGTGTGCAAGTGTGCAGCTACGAGTATTACCATCTTTATATCATATTATTATCATGCTGGTATAAGACTGCACCAAAAAATTAAAAAAAAACACTCTACCTGCCTCACCCTCATACATAGCGATACCGTAGCTTTTATGAGACTGGGATCACTTTAGACTCACTTTAGACCTGTACTTTAGGTGGAGCAGGCCACCTGGATCGCAAAGGTGCGACGCGGTCTCGCTAGCCTACCGGTCTCGCGTCTGCTGGCCCTGCACCAAAAAATAGAATAGAAAAAAAATCCTAAAAGAGCCTAAAAATGCCAGATATTCAGCCCTTTATTTTGTCTACTACTACTCAATCTTGCTGAAGTAAGTTTGATCTCTTATTATTCCTATATATACTTATTTGTACACGGATTCTATAGTGCAGGCGTCTAAAAACGCAAAACCAAATGCACCTCACAACTGAAGGAAACAAACGAATGAAGAAGCAGCTCCAAAGCCATCTGATTTTTTAGATCCAATGAATGAATGAGAATCAATGTCTGATGAGATGTAAAATTTTAGGCACCTGACATATAGCCGGACCCTTATTTGTATTGGAAACGCTAGGATTAAGGCGTTCGGACGGTTATCTTTACGTCGGACGCCTCATCCACCGCTAACTCCCCGCTCCCGAGTTAATAAAAAAAATCTCCACTCCTTGCTCGTCGGACGCTTGCATATCCTCCTTTCTCTACTTGCTCCCAATGCCGCTGCATCCACCCACATGTCTTTCTCGCCGCCGTGCTTTGCCCCCGGTCGATCCTCGGCAACCCCTGTCCCCTCGCATGGAAAACATCCGTATGGACGGACGAGTCTGCACCCCACGACTCCCCACCCCGCCTCGTCCGTCACGACTCCCCACCCTCCCTCTACGCCACCGAGGTCTGCGTCACTGGCGAGCACACCGTGTGACCTCCACGCGCCTCCCACCCGCCCTTTTGCGCCATTGCCGGCGAAAGCACACCGGTGACCTTCACGCTACCGATGAGCCTCCATTCGTTGAAGCAACGAAGAGAAGTTTTGCGATGAAAGCGCATGTTGCAACCGTATGTTTCAAGTGTTTCAGGTGTTTTAGAGGTATGTTGCAAGTGTTTTATATCGATGTTGCAAAAGTAGATTGGGATGTTGCAAAAGTAGATCGGGATGTTGCACATGTTACAATGACTATATATTTATGTTTCAAGTGTATGTTTTAAGTGTTTCATATGTTTCGGACGTATGTTTCAAGTATTTCATTTGTATGTTACAAAAGTAGATCTGGATGTTGCATATGCATGCATGTTGCAACCGTATGTTTTAAGTGTTTCAGGTGTTTCATACATATGTTGCAAGTGTTTCATTTGGATGCTGCATATGTTTCGCAATGGCTACACACATGTTTTCAAGTTTTTTAGGTGTTTTCAAGTGTTTCAAATGTACGTTACAAGTGTTTCAACTGTTTCGGACATATTTTGCAAGTGTTTCATCTAGATGTTGCAAAAGTAGATCCAGTGTTGCGTATGTTGCAATGGGACCCACTTGCCGTAGTAGTGCTGCATGTCATCAAGGCTACTATCTGTCGTGGTGATCCGTGCGCGACGGCCGAGGAGGCCGATGAGATGCATTCACAAGACGTATCCAGAGGCGGGATAGGTGACTGGGACCCAGAGGTGTGACATGCAGACCATGCTAGGCCCCCGCGCTAGTGGTTGGGTTGTGACCGGCACCCGCGGGTCGGGACTCGTGTGCTCGTGCACGAACAGGGAGGGGAGGCCGGTACAGTGACGTCACCATGCCCGCGACTAGACCGCGCGCGCCGTGCGAGTTGAGTGTCCGATATTTGGAGCTACGCTGGATGTCTGTGCGCCAATAACTCCCTATATATGTATATATATATATATATATATATATATATATATATATATATATATATATAGAGAGAGAGAGAGAGAGAGAGAGAGAATTACTAACTCAGAAGTTGGTTACAAAATAAATTTTATTCTCAGAAATACTTTGAGTTACGATAATTACTATGTTAATTTATTTAGATTATAGTAAATCCTTACTAAGTGGTTTACTATAACGTTATGGTAAATATTCCCATGTGTTATAGTAACCTAACTATCGTAAATATGTATTGACATTATCGTAAATTAGTATATAAAATTATCGTAAATGGAGGTGGCTACAGAATAACTTATTTTATAGCTGGCTACTGAATATATATATATATATATATATATATATATATATATATATATATATATATATATATATATATATATATATATATATATATATAGTTAACACTCTCGACTCTCGTATGATGAGGCGATGAGTGATGTGACAGGAAAAGAGAGAAACACTTTTGAAGTAATACAAAGAAACAAAAAATCGAACATTGCACTGATTTTGTGAGCAGTGACTAATCATCGGCATGCAACAACTAACACACATTAGGCTCGGTCAGTTGGCTAAGCTTGCTGTAAAGGAAGAAGCAATTGAGTAGACCGAGCACTTTGCTAGCTAGCGCACAAGAACCTGCATATTCCATTTTCCAAGACCTGCCCATACAGTTTTGTATTTTTTTGCGAGACCAGTACGGAGACAGCGTACACTCACCCCATGAACGTGCTAATGCGCCTATGCTGCGCATCACATGCTAATGCTTCCCCTCGCTAGTTATGCACTTATGCTGCGCTAGTGCGCCTATCATCAAATAAATTAAATCGACTCCAATTAATCCACACATCTACAGTACTACACCCAGTCCAGCGCAGAGGCAGCTGAAGAGAGTGCAAGCAGAACTCCACTGAGGCACAAGCCAAGGAGGCAACAAGAGCGCCACAAACAATAGCTCACCTGATGAAGAAGCTGTTGTTTCATCTGATCGAAAGCCACGGTAACGACCTTCTATCAAAGCTTCCAACAAGAGGTAGCTAGAGCCTAGAGGGGTGGTCGGAGCCGCTGGTGCTCTACTAAAGCTACTGGTTCAATTTCACGTTCCGAATGGCATGCACGCTCAGCATATAATAACTAGAAACCTCGCCATGCATGATGACACGTACCATCCTCGCGTCCAACCCCAAGTTAAGCTAGTGTCGCACCACATGATGCATGGATGAAGGCGCTTGCCTTTGCAATCACGAACCGCTACCGAGTTTGGCGGAAGGCACCGGTTGGTGTTGGTTAGCGGTGGCGCCGGCCGGTCGCGGAGCAGCCGCCACGGGACACGACGCTCCAACCCGAGTCCATCGATTATCGGATCGGGTGTGTCGTCGTGTGTGATGACTCATAGATGCTGACCATGCATGCGCCGTGTCGATCTGCATGTGATGCTGATGTGGCAAGTCAGCCCGGCTTGCCTGCTGCTTATTATCATGATTGATGACTGCTATGCGTACGTAAGAGAGGAAGATCATGGAGGTGGAGTGGACAGGCCACAGCTCAGTCATTTTCAGCATCTAGGTTAGGTAGGTTGGTATATATATATATATATATATATATATATATATATATATATATATATATATATATATATATATATATATATATATATATATATATATATATATATATATATATATAATACACGCGCTATTCTACGCTAAACTGTTGTACTGAATAGAATTCAGTACTGTTCAGTAGTCGTGTTTTAGTATCGTTCAGTATTTCGAGGTACTGTGTAGTACTGACTGTACTTAATATTTTTTTCATATATATATATATATATATCATTTTTGATTTTTTTTTGAGGGAAATGTTTGTTTGTTTAAAACTTTATTGCAAAAACGATTTTTACGTGTATAAAATGGGGGCCGGGAGACTGGACTGTGGAGTCCTGTCCACCATATATGTATATATATAGCCACAAAGCTAAGCCGGCCATCCCCTCCTTAGCTGAAATAGCTAGGCTCTTGCTAGTTACCACACCCTACCAGCGTTGCTCGATCTCCACACTCGCTCCGCGCTACCTCACCGTACGTGCTACAGACATGTCTCGTGCTGCTACGCTCGCTTCGCCTGCCGCGGTGGCGGCCGTCCTCCTCCTCCTCTGCTCCTCCTCTGCGCCTACTACCGCCGAGGCCGGCAACACCGGCAACGCGAGGCAGCAGCCTCCGCTGGCGCCGGGCCTGTCCTTCGACTTCTACAAGTGCAGCTGCCCCAAGGCGGAGTCCATCGTGCGGAGCTTCGTGCAGGACGCCGTGCGCAGGGACGTCGGCCTCGCCGCCGGCCTCCTCCGCCTCCACTTCCACGACTGCTTCGTCCAGGGCTGCGACGCCTCCGTGCTCCTGGACGGCTCCGCCACCGGCCCGGGAGAGCAGCAGGCGCCGCCCAACCTCACGCTGCGCCCCACCGCGTTCAAGGCCATCAACGACATCCACGACCGCCTCCAGAAGGAGTGCGGTGGCGCCGTCGTCTCCTGCTCCGACGTCCTCGCGCTCGCCGCCCGGGACTCCGTCGTCGTGGTACGTAGGCTGTTTACGCATGCATGCAGCCCTATGCACTGCACTGCATGCACACTCCTCTGGTTGGTTCTTCAGGCTCACACTCTGCCTGCCTGCCTGCCTGCCTTCAGTCCGGCGGGCCCAGCTACAAGGTGCCCCTGGGTCGGCGCGACAGCACCAGCTTCGCGACGCAGGAGGACGTCCTGAGCGACCTCCCGCCGCCGACGGCCACCGTGCCGGCGCTGCTGGTCGTGCTGTCCAAGATCAACCTGGACGCGACGGACCTG